AAAAAGCATAACTTAGCTATATATGTAAACTTATAGTTCCCAAACAGAAGGGCAGTGGATCTCCCTACTGATAAGCATGTTTGAACATATCTAGATTGTGATTAATAATTGCAACTCAGAAACAGATTTTGGATGTTTTAGATAGGTCTTTGAAGAATTGCTGGAGTTCAGATTTGTAGAAGTGAGATGTATCAGTAGATATGTTAGGCTGAAGGGTTGTAGGTTAAATTTAGAATTAAGGCATAAAATGCTTGTATAGACCGATCACAGTGGCTCACACTTGTAATCCCATCACTCTGGGAGGCCAAAGTAGGTGGATCACTTGAAGTCAGGGGTTTGAGACCAGCCTGGCCAGCATGGTGAAACCCCATCTCTACTAAAAATACAAAGATTAGCCGGGCGTGGTGGTGGGCACCTATAATCCCAGCTCCTCTAGAGGCTAAGGCAGGAGAATTGCTTGAACCTGGGAGGTGGAGGTTGCAGTGAGCCGAGATTGCATCAGTGCACTCCAACCTGGGCAACAGAGCAAGACTCTGTCTCAAAAAAAAAAAAAAAAAAAAAAAAGAAGCTTATATAATAGGAAGATGACCAAATAAGGAAACAAATGAGTTCTTCAAAGGAGATTTAGTGTCCAGGAAAGGATTCTATGGACCCTGATAGGATTTGGAGAAGAGGTATGTAAGCAACAGTTCATTGCCTGCCATTTTATTATACCAGGCAACCGTAATGTAGATTGCCACTGTTTTAGAGAACTTTTTGAAAGATGGTTTGGGACCACAAATGCAACGAAGATCTCCCAGGATCGTATAGACCATTTCAGTTCCCATTAAGGTCTCCTACATTTCTACCCGCCCCATAAACTTACATCGAATCACTGCAAGGGCCAGGCACGGTGGCTCACGCCTGTAATCACAGCACTTTGGGAGGCTAAGGCAGGCAGATCACCCAAAGTCAGAAGTTCAAGACCAGCCTGACCAACATGGAGAAACCCCTGTCTCTACTAAAAATACAAAATTAGCCAGGCGTGGTGGCGTATGCCTGTAATCCCAGCTACTCAGGAGGCTGAGGCAGGAGAATCGCTTGAACCTGGGAGGCACAGGTTGCAGTGAGCCGAGATCGTGCCATTGCACCCCAGCCTGGGCAACAAGAGCGAGACTTTGTCTCCAAAAAAAAAAAAAAAAAAAAAGAGTCACTGTAGGGAAGGGAGGGGCAGGAAGAATCCTAGACGCATGTCAGGAAAGCAACAATATTAGCAGCACCTCTTTATACCTTTTCAGTTCTGTGGTAACTTTTGCTGGCTTTGATTGTATATAGATTTTATTTTTTATAATAAGCCACTTCATGTAAAGTGTGCAAGAATTTTGAGTACACTAGTTGCCCTTTTGCCACAAAATCTTGTGGTTTTAGTCAGATCTTTATATCTTAGCTTTTCCAAATTTTAGTTAATGAATAAAACTTACCACATGCTAAGATTATTTTGCCTGTCTGGTAGCTGGAAGGATAAACCCCCAGATCATTGAAATTTATAGTTTTATTTTTTAGTTAAAGTCATGAATTAAAACTTTCAAGGGAAACTTGGATTTAAACTTCAGAACCTGTGTTTCATGTAACAGTGAAATCATGAATAGCCTGAATTTTCAGGGGATGTTGTGGTCTGTTTAGTCAAGCTATCTAATTATTACCAGAAAATTTTTGTTTTTATCCTTGTTTAATGCACCGTAATTTTTTTAATGTGGAGTTCAAGACTCTTCGAGTGAGGCAGGTCGTTGTTCTGTGTGTCACTGATCACTGGAGGGCATTATTAAGCCTTAGATACTAAGAGGAATCTCTGCCAACCCCAGCACCTACACAGGGATTTTTCTCTTTTGACTCCTGAATTCTTGAATTCTTGACAGATTAGGAAGTATATAGTTAATGTTCCAGGTTGCTGGTTTCTGGTTAGATGAGCTGTTGCAGTATTTTGTTTTTCTTTTTTTTTTTTAAGTTTTTAGTTTTTAAGTCTTTCAAGACTTCTCCCAAGGCCCTGTCATTCATCGTTACTGTATTCTTAATCATGAGAGGGATTATCTTCACCCACCACCAAGTGGCAGAGAAGTGCTTTATCATTTTTATGATAATGCTGTAACTAGTGAGTGACAGAAAATGACAGAAGAAAAAACAAACACTTTCTCTTTAGGAACCCTACCACCTTTTTGTTTTTAAGCCCTTTTGCCAGCCTCGGAAGTAGCATCCCATTTGCACCAGCATGTACAAAGCATTAGAGTCTGTGTTAAGAAAAGGAAGACATTTGGTTCTGGATTAATTTTAGGATTATCTAAGAAGAGATTAAACAAGTTTTGTTTAAAAGCTTGTTTGAACAACTCTGTTTATGTATACTTAAAGACCCACTCTTAATTTTCAAAATAGCGCATATTTATGACTGGACTTTTTTTTTTTTTTTTTTTTTGAGACAGAGTCTCTCTCTCTCTTTCCCCCTCTCTCTGTCGCTCAGGCTGGAGTGCAGTGGTGCAGTCGCACCTCACCTCCCAGGTACAAGCGTTTCTTCTGCCTCAGCCTCGCAAGTAGCTGGGAGTACAGGTGCGTGCCACCACCCCTGGCTAAAGTTTGTATTAGTAGAAACAGGGTTTCACCATGTTGGCCAGGCTGGTTTTGAACTCCTGACCTCAAGTGATCCGCCTCGCAAAGTGCTGGGATTACAGGCGTGAGCCACTGCACCTGTCCTATTATAATTTTTTTATATGGAGAAGGACCAAAAAAAAAAAAGTCCGAAGATGAAACTCTTTGCATGTGGGGTTTTTTAGTTTAGTTTTTTTTTTTCTTTTTCACATACAGGTATGGGCATGTGCACACACACACACACTGTCTCCTTTTTTTCTTAATTAAAAAACCCACCATCCGGTTGCGGTGGCTCACGCCTGTAATCCCAGCACTTTGGGAGGCTGAGGCGGGCAGATCACGAGGTCAAGAGATCGAGACCATCCTGGTTAACATGGTGAAACCCCCTCTTTAAAAATACAAAAATTAGCTGGGCATGGTGGCACACGCCTGTACTCCCAGCTACTGAGAAGGCTGAGGCAGGAGAATTGCTTGAACCCAAGAGGTTGCAATGAGCCGATTTTGGGCCACTGCACTCCAGCCTGGTGACGGAGCGAGACTCCATCAAAAAAAAAAAACTACCTCCTGCACAGTCTCTCCCTTTTCTTATGCCTCTCCCCACTCGTTTTTTTATTTTTTATTTTTCAAACTTGGAATCATACTATAAATTATTTTATAATTTGCCTGTTTCACCCTAACAGCCTGATCCTTTTCCTTTGTCATTAAGTCTTCTCCTACAACCTGGTTTCTAATGGCTACATAGCACTCCTTCATACATATGGTATTTAATGGACATAATTAGAACCATGTTGCAAGGCATTTAGGTTATCTTTGTGTTTGTACTATTTTATGCATGTATAATACTGTTGAATATATTTTATATGAATTTTTGTATACATTTCTTTTTACCTTAGGGCAGATTCCTGCAAGTAGACTTTGGGAGTCAAAGCATATACACGTTTTAATGCTTTTGCTAGCTATTTCATTACTTGGTAAACTATTTGTGTTTCCACCTGCTGTGTTTAAGAGCTCCTATTTTTCTTTTTTTCTTTTTTTTTTTTTTTGAGATGGAGTCTCAATCTGTCTCCTAAGCTGCAGTGCAGTGCAGTAGCACGATCTCGGCTCACTGCAACCTCTGCCTCCCAGGTTCAAGCAATTCTCCTGCCTCAACCTCTCAAGTAGCTGGGATTACAGACGCCTGCCACCACAGCCCGCTAATTTTTGTATTTTCAGTAGAGATGGGGTTTCACCACGTTGGCCAGGGTGTTCTCGAACTCCTGACCTCAGGTGATCCACCCACCTCATCCTCCCAAAGTGCTGGAATTACAGGCATGAGCCACCACACCCGGACAAGAGTTCCTACTCTTCTGAACAGTGCCCTTTGTTATAATTTTTTAAACTATTTTTTTCTAATTAAAATGTTTAGGATTATATATGAGGAAATCATCTGACCGTCTTTAAGGCTCATCTGTTTAGCCTATCAAGCATAACAAATTCAAGAACTTTTTGGACCAGGTGCGGTGGCTCAAACCTGTAATCCCAGCACTTTGGGAAGCTGAGGTGGGCAGATCACTTGAGGTCAGGAGTTTGAGACCAACCTGGCCGGCATGGTGAAACCCTGTCTATACTGAAAATACAAAAATTAGCTGGGTGTGGTGGCACATGCTGTAATCCCAGCTACTCAGGAGACTGAGGCAGGAGAATTGCTAGAACCTGGGAGCCGAGATTGCACCATTGCACTCCAGCCTGTACAACAGAATGAGACTCCATCTCCAAAAAAAAAAAAAAAGAACTAGAAACGAAAACCTTTTTGGGCTGGGCACAGTGGCTCACACCTGTAATCCCAGCACTTTGGGAGGCCGAGGCAGGCAGATCACGAGGCCAGGAGATCGGGACCATCCTGGCTGACATGGTGAAACCCCATCTCTACTAAAAAAAAATACAAAAAAATTAGCTGGGCGTGGTGGCGGGCGCCTTTATTCCCAGCTACTCGGGAGGTTGAGTCAGGAGAATGACGTGAACCCAGGAGGCAGAGTTTGCAGTGAACAGAGATCACGCTGCTGCACTCCAGCCTGGGCGACAGAGCAAGACTCCATCACAAAAAAAAAAACTTTTTGACTCACTAGAGAATAAATGTAGGTTAATTGTAGATCATTTAGATATTATGAAAGCATAAAATGAAAAGTATTAAGAATCTTTTTAAGATAGGTGAGGTCTTATGTGCAATTTTGTGTCACACTTTTTTTACTTAATTTATCTCATGTACTTTTTTCTATTACATTAAAATCTTCCTTATTAATGACTTCATAAAATCCACTATATGGCCATATTATGATTTACCCAACCATTCCTCTTATATTGTCTACCTTTTTTTTTTTTTTGGTTTCCTAATTCTTGCTGTTATAAGTAACTCTGTGATGGGTATTATGTGCATAAAACTTCGTTTGCATTTTTATTATCCCTTAGTACATATGGATTCTATGAAATAAAATTCATGTGTCACAGCAGGAGTGAACATACTCAAGTATCTCAGTGCATTTAACCAAATAACTTTCCAGAAAAGCTGCACCAGTTATACTTAACACCAGCAGTATATGAGCATGCCCATGTGGCGGTCACCTCAACAGCATGGAGCACCCCTGTTGTGCTTGCTGGTGGGTCGTGGTGGCTCACGTCTGTAATCCCAGCACTTTAGGAGGCCAAGGCAGGCAGATCTCCTGAGGTCAGAAGTTCGATACCAGCCTGACCAACATGATGAAACCCTGTCTCTACTAAAAATACAAAAATTAGCTGGGCATGGTGGTAGGCTCCTGCAATCCCAGCTACTCGGGAGGCTAAGGCAGGAGAATCACTTGAACCTGGGAGGCGGAGGTTGCAGTGTGAGATCACACCATTGCACTCCAGCCTGGGTGACAGTGAGACTCTGTCTCAAAAATAAAAAATAAAAAAATGCTAATTTACCAAGTGAAAAATGATCGGGAAGTTTTTCTTGAATGAATAATAAATAATGAGAAATCGGACTATGAATTAAGTAGCATGCTATCATTGTTTTATTAGTAATATAACTATTACAAATGTGATCAAATTTTTTTTTTAATTAAAAGTCACTTTTTGAAGTCAACTTACCCCCAAAAAAGCATATTACCTTTTCCCCCCAAGACATAGGGGATTTAATTTTTTTCTGTCATTTTGAAAAATCAATGCCAAGAGATAATACCATATTGAGATTTTTGACCAAATGTTACTAGCATAAATTGCCCTGGTTTAAGACCTCCACTCCTTGGTTCTTGGTCCCTTCAGTTTGTGGTGTGAATAAACATCATTTGTAATTATTTGACTAAGTCATTTAAAACCCCTGTTCTTCAGTTTAACATACTGTTTTGCTCCTCCCTTTCTCATTGAGGTATTGTATGAATTTAAGGGCCATGTGAAGTATTTGTCCCTTCTTAAAAGATAGGCACAGGATATAGACTGGGTAGTAAAATGTGGTTTGGGTTTCTAGTGTTTTTTATGCTTCCAGGTACCCAGAACCTTAAATTGTACTTTGAGCTCCTCAGAAGAAAGGTGCTCCAGGCATCTAAGAGAATACCGTTGGGGTGATACAAATTCGTAAGCTAACACTGAAATCTTAAAAGTTTAAAAATATTAATGCATTTGTATGATTTATTTTTCAACTGAGTATGTCAAAGCACTTTATAAACGAGTGTTGTCCATAGTTTGTACTGATGGGGAAACTGAGGCATGGGGTGATAAGGTGACTGGCCCAAGGTTACAAAATGAGTTATTGACAACTCTGGAAATAGAGGATTTTTTTAATTCACATATTAGATATATGTGGGCATTGGCATTCAAAGCTTCCCTCATGCTATTTCCTTTAGTCCTGTCCTTTGGGGACTTGCCTCTGAGGGTAGTTCAGGTTTCCTGGCTTGTTCAGCCTTTTGTCTCTGTAGAGGCTTCCAGCAAGCTGACAAGTTACTGCCAAAAGTGAGACAGATGGTATTTTTTATGATGTTGTCCTTAGTTAGAGACTGTTAGTGATTCTTCTCCTCAGGCTACTCTTTGAAAAGCTGTAAGGTGGTATCAGCTTTATCGTGGTTGGCTGAGGAAGGATTTGTACAAGTAAATGTTCTCTGCCCTATTGTCATTCCTAGGGTCATCTGGTCTCGGAGTACCCTGAAGGTGAGGGATTAGATTGTGCTCTGAATTGGTATGCCCATAGTTTGAGGAAATGTTTTACTTTTGTGTGTGTTGAGATGAAAGTCTCCCAGGCTAAAGATTTTTGAACTGCACATAATGCCTGAAGAAACACTTGAAAGGCACTTTATTTCTCCCAGGTCCCCAACCATGGGTTTAGGCTTTTATGCCAGAAAGGGGACCTTCATGAACAAAGACCCCCAAGACCTAGAGAGAAGAGGAAGTCTGAAAGAGGGAGGTTTGAATTCAGCCTTCAGGAAAGAAGAGGGCAGAGCAGGAGGCTCAGGCAAGGAAGTCAGGAACCACAGACCAGAAGCATTGACTTGGAAAGGTTTTCATGTAATTGAAATGAAGCTATTGATTAATCCATTTTAAAAGAATTTGAAAAATTCATTAAAATGTCAGTAGCATCCACTAATTAATAAAAGCATAGGGAGTGGCATCTTTAAAACCAAAAATGAAAATGAAGAAACAGACTCCAGCCCAGGGACCAGGGACGATTATGAGGGACATGGTGCCTCATACAGCCAAGATGATCCAAGAGGCATCATCTTTATGAAGCTTTAACACCTGGCAGCCTGCTCATTGTGTTGTTTAAGAGGTAAGTATGAACTGGTTTTGTTTGTAGCTTTTGTGTGGAATCAGGTAGTGCTGTCTGCAGAGGGTAAACCTTTATTTCATTAAGTAGGAATAACAGACACGGTAATTCTGTATTAAATCCCAAGAGTTTTATTCTAAATTGGTAATGTGACTTTCATCTCTGGAGTTTTTTCAAATCGTTTTTAATATGTGGTTGAGTCTCCATGAACTTTTAGTGCGTCATCAGGGAATAGTTGATTCCCCTCTTTTGAAACCTTTGGATTTCATTTACCCTTAGTGTTGAAAAGTATCAGAAAATTGAAATGGATGCAGATGATTGTATCTGCCCTCCCTTTCAGGAAAGCCGTGTTGACTTTAAAATATCAAAAAAGTAAGTTCAGTTATGATTGCAGGGGATAATGATAGTTTGATCCACAAACTATTTGCAGTGTAAAAGTGAGATACCTTAGCTGACTTAGTTCATTTTTGAAAGTTTTGGATAGCTAAAACAAAGTTGGCAAATAGGCTCATAGAGCAGTTACAGAGTAAGACTAAATTTTGATACAGATTCCTCTCTACCTCCCATTCTGGGAGGATTTAGTTTTACTGTTTGGTGTTTAGGATAATGATTGTTCTATTTTTCTCAACCCACTATGTGAATATGTTTTCTGTTAGAGATGGGCTGTTATCTGCAATGTGGACTCAATACCATGGGCTTGAGTTTGGTTATTTCATCATTAGAGAATTTTTTTCAGCAGTTGGTTTACTTTATGAGAAAGGATCATGAGTTTAATTTTCCTAGTGATATATTTGTGTTCTCATTGTCAAGATATGTTTCTTAATGATTTGTTACCTTTTTCTATTTTCCTAGACTAGTATTAAAATTTTGATAGCATATGGGTTTGGTTCCACTTGTAGAGAATAAATGTTCACAACTTACTGATATTAGCACACATCACATGCAGAAATGGTGTTTTCTTGCCACTTACTCTTTCTCATGAGATGCTTATATTCCTGTGGGCATTTGTCTTCCACGCTACAGCACGTAATTTGATGAAACATTTTCTGTGCAAGAGCTTGTGTTTCTCCAACTCTGGTTTTATGGACCACGTCTTTTCATTGGTGTATAGGAGGCGGTTAGAACGTGGTGGTAGAATGCAGGTTTTAGGTTACCTGGATGTGAAGAATCCCAGGTCTTTGGGGTAGCTTTGGAAGTTATCAACTCTTCTAAGTTAGTTTCTTGATCTGTCAGATGACAGTAAACCTCAGAGTTGTGAAAATTAAATGGATATAATGTGTGTAAAGCACTTAGCGTAATGCTTTATACATCGTAAAATTTTGAAAAATAGGAGTAGTTATTACAGAGAAATTTGAAGAAGAGGCGTAGTGGGCTGCATGTTAATAATAGTTTGTAGTTAATGAAAATTAAATCACATCATCTTAGATGTTTATCATCTGCATAGTACTTTTCTGGTTGCTGCTTTAATCTTTGTATAGTTGAAAGTCTGTAAACTTTCTAGTATTCTTTGATTTCTGGCCCATTTCCCTCCTACCATTCACGCTTATATTTTTTGGTTCGAGTCACCATTCCTTGCAAAACTAATTAAATACATTCCTAAACACATGATATTGCCAATATTCATTCACATCCACCACGTCTAGGTCCAAGTCTTCATCTTCTTTATGCTGGTCTAATTTTTGATGAGCCTTAGAACCAAAGACAGACTCTGGGGGTTGATATGGGACCTCCAGAATGGGGATTGCACAGAATAATCTTATTTTTCCTCTATTCTTCTAGTCTGTTATGTTCTGAACCCACACATGTTTTCGGAAGGACCAGATGGCTGACACTGGCTAATGGGAACCAAAAGACGAGTGAAAGTAACCTGGTTGTCACATACCCCCAGCTTAGAGGTGCTTCACCCTGCCCCAAGGTCAATTTCTATTTTCTCTAGAGACTTTATCCCATTATATCAAAAACCTTTACTACAGCCTGACTTATCTGAGGTTAGAGTATCATTAAGTCAAGCATCAGCATTTGTTGAATGAAAAAAGATTGTACACAGGACTGGGAGAGAAGCTTCTGCCTTTAAAATACAGTAGAAAGCTGGGCATGGTGGTTCACGCCTGTAATTCTAGCACTTTGGGAGGCCAAGGCGGGTGGATTGCCTGAGCTCAGGAGTTCGAGACCACCCTGGGCAACATGGTGAAATCCTGTCTCTCCTAAAAAAAAAAAAAAAAAAAATGCAAAAATTAGCCGGGCGTGGTGGTGCACACCTCTAGTCCCAGCCACTTTGAAGGCTGAGGTACAAGAATTGCTTGAGCCCAGAGTCAGAGGTTGCAGTGAGCGGAGATCGCACCACTGCGCTCCAGCCTGGGCGACAAGGTGAGACTATGTTTAAAAAAAGAAAAAAGGAAGTAGAACCTTGTGGTTTAGAGCTGGGGTTTTTAGAGTCATGGGTCTGGGTTCCAATCTAGCTCCTCCACTCATGAGCTCCTTGACAATGAGCAAGTTGCTTAGCCTCTCCAAGCCTCAGTTTCTCATTGTAAAATGGGAAGAATAATAATACATTCTTCACGTTTGATATATGAATGAATGAAATATTATGGATAAATTATTTACTGTTCCAGGCACTGTGCTAAATAAATAGCCAATAGATACTAGCCTTTGTTGTTCTTAGTGAAGAGCTCATAATCAAAAGAGAAGGTAAGCACAAAGACAAAAACAAGGCTTAAAAAGCTACAGAAACATGACTGGGTGCAGTGGCTCACTCCAGTAATCCCAGCACTTTGGAAGGCTGAGACAGCCGGATCACGAGGTCAGGAGTTCGAGACAAGCCTGACCAACATGGTGAAACCCCGTCTCTACTAAAAATATAAGAATTAGCTGGGTGTGGTGGCATGCGCCTGTAATCCCAGCTCTTCAGGAGGCTGATGCAGGAGAACTGCTTGAACCCGGGTGGCGGAGGTTGCAGTGAGCCGAGATCGTACCATTGCACTCCAGCCTGGGCAACAAAGCGAGACTCCTTCTCAAAGAAAACAGAAACAAAAAAACATAAAATTGAATAGAAGTGCTAAAGCTAAAGAAAGTCCTAAAATAATTGGAGTAGACAGGTTTTCTGAGGCTTCATGAAAGAGGTAATTCTCAAGCATATGGAAGAAGATTGGTATAATTCAACTTGTATAGTCAAGGTGTTCCGGGTTTAGAGAGTGACATAAAGATACTTAGGAGTCATTATAGGCTTCTAAACAAAAAAATGATTTAGCAGCAGACTTTTCCTGATACAATACAAAAGGCAAGTTGACTAAGTAAAAGTAGCTCTAGCCTAGAATTATATAAATTAATCCAAATGGTAGAGACAGCCCTGAAGGCCCAGCAAATGAGAAAACTGCAGAATTTGGCAGTAGACCCAGTGGGTAACCAACCAATAAGGTATAGTCAGAAGTGATTACAAAGGTGTTGGGAGCAAATTAGATGGTCAAGGGATCTGGAAGAGAGACATCATGAGGTAGGTTTTCTTCTTTGAAGGTGGGGAAAGATCAAGTGCAGACTGAGCTGTGGCCAACGTTTGCAGACCAGGAATCCACACTAGCTCTAATCAGAGAGCCCTTGGTGTGCGGGAACTGCCAGTTTGCCGACGTGAAAAGAGTCCCAGACTGGGTAATGGTGAGCCCTGAAGTCGCACCCCAGCTCTGCCACTCAGTGAGCACGGGTAAGTCATCCACCTCCTCCAGGTGGCCTTGATGGCCCTCCCTCCTCTGAGACTAAAGAAAGAGAGGCCACGATGCCCAGAGCAGCCTCCTTCCCGTCTCAAGAAAGGAAAGGATCTCAGGAACCCATTTCATGTGGTAGCAGCTTTTAGTTGTGGGTTGTAAACAACCCTCTGTTGCCAGGAAAATCAAATTGCAACCATAATCACAGATCCTAAGCAGTAAATGTGACATTGGTTAATTCTTCTGTGAGGGCCTGAACGCTGGTTCCCTGGAATGTTGCAGACCTTTGGAATCGGGGCAGTTACACTGTTCTCATTCACAAGCTTTTCTCTGAGTTGTCCTCTTCTGAGCACTAGAGTTGGTTGCAGAAGTGTCTTTCTACAGTTTGCCAAGCACTTTTTGCAGACAGCAAGAATTGCCATTTTTTAGTACTGTCTTATCAGTGTGTCCTGACTTTTTACCTCATAAGACCAAGTTGGCTGAAGCATAGGACATCACTGAGTGCTTTGAAAGAAAGCTGTTTGATTCCTGTTCACTGAATGCCATTTCTTTTAGGGTAGATTTGAGGGCTTTACCCTTAAAGTACAGTGCTACTGACTCTAGATTGAGGGTTCAAGCCACCCCATGGGTTAACTTCAACAGATGAAAATTTTTCCTTGGCTACAGCAACATCCCTAATCCTGACCAGCCATGGAGAGGTTCGGTTCTTACAAGGAAAATGAGTGAATGTGGGAATGGCTCACCACATTGTGAAAACAAAACTCACATCCTGCTGATGGTTGGCTGAGGACTGTCATGTCCACATACAAAGAAAAGCATGTGGCACAGTTTTAGGACAAAGGTGAGCAGAGATCCACCGTGGAAAGGGGCATATTTTCTTATAGAGAGACCATCCAAGGCATGCCCCTCGGTAAGCAGTGTTGGTGGGTGACCGCGGTCACACGCATGGAGGCTTGCTTTCCCCTGCTCCTCATACCCACTCCCTAGCAGTTTCTGGTATTGAGCACCCCCTTAGTCATGCCTTGCCCAGTTAGCCATTCAGCCTATTTCCAGAGCAAGTCATGGGCATCAGATTGCAGACAGGACTTTGTCTCCCTGTTCAGTGAAGATGTTTGGAAGACAGAAGTAACCCTAAGCTGTTCTGAAAAGGGTTGAGATAAATCCTCTTCAGTAGAACATGACAGCAAAGGGCAGAATTGATGGTGTTTGGGACCATTGGTATAGGATCAGAGAAAGCATATTAGCAAGGATACAAACTCAGATGATAATTCTTGCCTGAAGAAGTGTGGTTAACATTTCTAAAGTTGAAGTCTTAGAGTACCTTAGTTTTAAAAATACGTCATTCCAGTTCTGCCTTTTCAGAATTCTGATTGATAACCTGAGCAGTACATCAGCTGTTCAATGAGGAAGATGAGTGCATTGGCAATGGGATAAGAATGGACTAAAGTTTAGAGCAGCCCATATAATTCAGTGTGGCTTTTGTTTGTGGTATCCAGATACCTGTCCATACTTGGTAAAAATTATGCTGCCTGCCTTTTTTAGAGGGAAAATGACAGTAACTTCCCCTCATTCTTTTGACTAGGTTTGTCAGGATAGAATGTGACCAGAGGAAAATAGTTTTGGTAAAGAGAACACAGTGCTTGGGATCAGATGAATTTTGGATTTCAGATTTTTTTTTGGATTTGGGAATGTTTGTATTGTACTTAATGGTTGAGCATTCCTAAACTGAAAATCCAAAATGTTCTGGTGAGCCAATCTGAGCATCTTGCTGCTCAGAAAGTTTCGGATTTTAGAGCATTTCAGATTTTGGATTTTCGGATTCAGAATACTCAACCTGTTGCATAGAAACATTGAAGAAAGGAGTTTCTTTTCTTACTTGAAGGGTGTTGTATATTGAATAGTGACGTCATGCTTTTTATTCTTTCATATGCATAGGGGAGGAAGATTGAAAGTGTATTGCAGGGCTCTTTGTGTTTCTGTCAATCCCTGCTGTGGAGGGGTTTTTACATTTGTCTTAGATTCTTCTGAATTCCTGCATCCTATGAATTATTGAAAGATGTTCTTTTTTAATAGAGCAGAAGAGGAAGGATTTCTGCTGTTAGAATTAGAGAAATTTATCTCTTGGGTTGTTTTGTGAGGCTTACTCACAAGTCACACCAAAGATGTATGTACATATATGTACACACATGCATACATATAATAGTGTGTATACATGCATGTATGTATTTTATATTCCTTTTTACTCTGACAAAGGATTCAAAAGGAGATTGCTTTTTGAGACAGATTTGTTTCACATTACTTGCTGCAAAGCACAAAGGGAGTGTTAAGCTTGGCTTTAAAAGGCTGTAGTGTTAGTTACCAGGAAGAGCTTTACTTTGTCAAAGGCACTAATTAATTCAGGAACAGTTGAAGTGTTTAAGCTAAAATTGGGACCTATAAATAAAAGGTATTTTAGACAATAAAAATTTATCCCTTTCCACCTGTTGGTGTCTGGTGGTACCATCCTAGTCCAGGCATGTCAAATTTTAGAGTTTAAATTTTCCATTTTTGAAGCCCAGCACAGTGGCATGTGCCTATAATCCCAGCTACTTGGGAGGCTGAAGCCGCAGGATCCCTTGATCCCAGGAGTTCAAGTCCAGCCTGGACAACCCCATCTCCATTGTTAAACCAAAGGAGCACTAATTTTAACACTTAATCTGTCATGCTTTTGATGTTAGTTATAGCCTTGGAGATATGCAGTAACTCCCTCATTTCATGAATAAACTAAGACCCCAAAGAAATAAAATGATTTAAATTTGCTGTTCAGGCCGGGCGCGGTGGCTCACGCCTGTAATCCCAGCACTTTGGGAGGCCGAGGCGGGCGGATCACAAGGTCAGGAGATCGAGACCACGGTGAAACCCCGTTTCTACTAAAAATACAAAAAATTAGCCGGGCGCGGTGGCGGGCGCCTGTAGTCCCAGCTACTCAGGAGGCTGAGGCAGGAGAATGGCGTGAACCCGGGAGGCGGAGCTTGCAGTGAGCCGAGATTGCGCCACTGCACTCCAGCCTGGGCGACAGAGCGAGACTCTGTCTCAAAAAAAAATAAAATAAAATAAAAAATAAATTTGCTGTTCAAAGTTTATTGCAGAACCAAGACTAGAACCCAGGCCAGTTCTTGCTGCTTCAGTCTTAATAGTTAGGGAGTTTCAGCCCTGGTGTCAAACCACGGGTTTGAATGCCAGCTTGGCGGGGTTTTTTTAATGCAAGTTATTTAATACTCTGTGCCTCGGTTTTTTTCATGTGTAAAACAGAAATAATAGTACCTAGCTGAAGGGGTGCTATGAATATTAGCTATGATACCATTGCTTAATATAGAGAGATTGTTTAGTCAGAGTTAGGTAACATTTTATTATCTAGTCTTCCTGTCTTAATTTATTTCTATCTTATTCACTCTATTTATTGAATGAAATTAAGTCATTCTTCAAGTAAAGCAGATTTAGTAGAAATCTGCTCTTTGCTTTATTCTCAGAACAAGAGTCCCTATTAGGTATGGTTTGTTGTATGGAAAGATGTTTGTTTTAATCTTCCAAACCCACTCAGCAGAGAGAAGTGACAGTCAAGTGCCTGATTTGATCCTTGAACTGAACTTTGATATGTTTCAAATAGATTTTTTTCACAGAATAGTAGCCAAAATTTTTCTGTAAAATAAATTTAATCTCAAGTCAGCTAATTTAATAAATGTTTTGGATACCCCCAAAACAGGCTTACCAAGTGACCCACTTGTTGGAACTTTTTAGAAGTAAATACTGGGGAAGGCTTGTAGGAATTTTTCTGTAACATTACCAATTGTCCCTGTAATTCGAGGAAGTTGTATTGGCAAGATATGCCTTGCTTCATTATCAGCTTGCAAAGAAAGATTCATCTGTCTTAACATAAATTTTTATTTTTAAATTATCCTGCCTCCACTGAGCAGATTGTCACTGCTTTCTCTGAAAGGTCAGGATAATTTCTGCATATGAGCCTTGGAACAGGGTGATCTTTGAGTCTGAGAGAATGTATGACCACACAGGTCTGACAGAAGCATCACTTGCCATCAGTGGCCACTGTGCTTTCTGTTTCAGTTGACCTGCAGAGCTTAAGGATGTTGCATTCTGTGACCGCCCGCTCTGCCCAGTAGTTGTAACCCTTAACTATTTTGAGGAAAACAGTTGGTGATTTTCCTGTGGTTTGTTTAATCCTCAGGATTCTGTGGTGTCCTAAGATCACATTAGATCAGTCCTGGTCATTGAACAGTGCCGAGCCAGAGTGTGACTCGAAGGGAGTGGAGGCCATTCCTTCGTGCCCAGGCCGAATGTCCCTCCTCCCTCTGCATGGCGTCAGGCTCTCACATGCTGCCAAAAGCAGTGATGCTGTGGACAGAGCAGACTTGGGACAGAGCACTCTTGACAATTAAATTCAGGAGGGCACTTTTGTTATTGTTACTGTTTTGAATCCATCTAGATTAGTTGAGTTGTTTTTTTTTATTTGCCTTAAAAGAAAAATTTTGTCTGAAAATAATACAGTTTTCCTAATGATCCATTCTATCTAAGAAAGGAAAAAGCAGCTACATTATATTATCTATTACAGATTTTTAGTCACCGTTAAAGCACTTTTGGACATAGTAAGTCAGTGATTTGGAGAGGCTTTACTTGCCTTGTCTAAGATAACAGCATATTCAGAATCCTTCTTATTAAGCTGCTCAGCAATTCTAGCCTATGGAAGCGTGAAACTATATTTTAAAGACTTCACAGCCCATAAATTGAGCCAGGTGGCTTCTGAATTGTGTTACTGCAAGACACTTCCTGTTAAATAACTGGGTGTGTCTCTATTTTTTTTTTTTTTTTTTTTTTTTTTTTGAGACGGAGTCTCGCTCTGTCGCCCAGGCTGGAGTGCAGTGGCCGGATCTCAGCTCACTGCAAGCTCCGCCTCCCGGGTTTATGCCATTCTCCTGCCTCAGCCTCCCGAGTAGCTGGGACTACAGGCGCCCGCCACCTCGCCCGGCTAGTTTTTTTGTATTTTTAGTAGAGACGGGGTTTCACCATGTTAGCCAGGATGGTCTCGATCTCCTGACCTTGTGATCCGCCCGTCTCGGCCTCCCAAAGTGCTGGGATTACAGGCTTGAGCCACCGCGCCCGGCCTTACTATATTTTTTTAATGGAGTTGACATTCAGTGCCAGGCAGACATTTCAACATAAAGAACCCTCCAACGTTGTTACCTACACATTGTAACCTAGCACATTGTCACCTGGAGAGACTTGTACGAAAGAAACTCTATAGTAAAGGAAAAATTTCGCAATTCTGAGTTCTCACTTATTTAACATGTTACCGAGTACAGCATTACATTCTAAAGAAACTGGAGGCTGGGCGCAGTGGCTCACGCCTGTAATCCTAGCACTTTGGGAGGCCCAGGTGGGCGAATCACCTGAGGTTTCGAGACCAGCTTGGCCAACATGACAAAACCCTGTCTCTACTAAAAATACAAAAATTAGCCAGGCGTGGTGGCGTGCGCCTGTAATCCCAGCTAGTGGGAGGCTGAGGCAGGAGAATCGCTTGTACCCAGGAAGTGGAGGTTGCAGTGAGCCGAGATCGCGCCACTGCGCTCCAGCCTGGGCAACGGTGAGACTCCGTGTCAAAAAATTAAATAAATAAATAAGTAAAGTGGAATCATTTTTTGTTAGCAGGCTGGGTGATCCTCTGACAAGTCCTATAACTTGTTTGTAGTGTCAGTGTGTTTAAATGCAGAGGAACATTAGTCAGTGTGTGCCCGGGTACATACAGCCTTATTAGAGTTTAAATAAATTGCTTGTAACTTTCCTTTCTGATTAGTTATGATCAATAAGATGGTTTTGGTTTTTAAATATAGGCAGTGGTCACAAAGCTGGACTTTTCACAGCTGTGTCAGACCAAACTAAGTATTTCTTGAAAACATAATTTACAGGGCATTTGTATAATCTTGCTTATAAGTATCTTACAAATTTTGCACTTTAGTTATATAAATTGTACTCTTTAATAGGCATTAATAGGATGGGGCGTTCTTTTGGATATATGTTAAGCCACCAAACCTCTTGGCTGGAAAAGATACAGCAATACCATTTAAAGACGTTTGCATGAGGTGTATACAGATTTCATAGAATTCCAGCCTATTCTAAAACTTCATGGAAATGAATTTGGAATCTCACAGGGAAGTAAATAGCTCCAGTCTTTTTTTTCACTGATAATCACATGTGACAGATGTGTTTTACGTAGAGTAACAGGAACCTTAAAAAAAAGTTTTTTTCTTTCACATGATTTAACAGTTATTACACAGTGCCTGAATGTAGATCTAATTGTTCTCTAAGATACCACTTTTAAAGCTAAAAAAGATGAGTTGTATGTGGTGTTTGAAAGAGCATTATATATCTTGTAGCATTATATATTTTGGATTCTTATACCAAGCATCCCTGTCTTTGCAGTTGCCACCAACTACTTGGGAAACATAAGAAGTGTCCTGCGTATGTAGCCAGCCTCCTCCTAGAAAGATAGGAGTCTACTTTGAGAAGTCTCCCTACCTTTTGCAGTGCCTGTTGGCACAAAGCAAAGTGATTTCACCTAAAGAGAAGACAAAGCTGATCCTTAGTTTGCAAAATCCACCTAACCTTTGCTAAGCATGACCCTCATTGCTTTCTCTTTAATGTTAGTGAAGCTGGATGTCAAAATGGTACCAACCAGTATTTTCTTTGCTCTCTTCTAGATACGGTTTTGTGGAGTTTGATGATCTGCGTGATGCAGATGATGCTGTTTATGAACTGAACGGCAAAGACCTTTGTGGTGAGCGAGTAATTGTTGAGCATGCCCGCGGCCCACGGCGAGATGGCAGTTACGGTTCTGGACGCAGTAAGCATTCAAAGGGCATACTTGTATCAGTAACGTGCTTTTATTATCATATGCTAATTATTTAAAGTAATTAATTGATATTGCATTTAAATGTATTGATGTTTAAGCTATTTTATAAATTATGTGTCTTTTTAAAAAAATGTAGAATTACAAATAAGCCTTTGATAATGTTTAATTTTAATTAAATTAATGATAATTTCTTGTTTGTAATACTTTATAAATATGTTTAATGATGTGTGTTTGTGTTGTTTTTTTTTTCTCTGTAATGCAATTGTTTAACATAGATTTAACAAAGACCTCAATGTTTTAATTAAAAGAATCCTTTGAGGCTAAGATGACTGCCTGTTCCATTTGCTGACCTTGGGTTACCTTTCCATGCGTGGCTCTTTGAACCATTGTGGCCCTTGGCTGACCAAAAACAGGAAGCCATGTGACGACCGCAACCTTTCCCCATTAGACCTGGGTGGTGAGGATCCCAAGGGTTAGACACAGATGAGATTAAACTGAAATAGGTGCCTGAAAATCTTTTTTTTTTTCCATATAAAATATTCACAAAATTTTTAATCACTGTGAGTAACACCAGTAACTGATTAGTAATTTGGTTACTTATTTCTAAATTGTTAAATTGTTAATCGTTTTTAATTTATGCATGTTAATCTTAAATATAAATATTAATGAATATGTATACTTACAACTTTTTAAATTAAATGTTTATATTTAGCTGATTGCTTCTTTAAAAATCTATTTTAGAATTAAGGATGGGAATAGAGTTAAAACGTGCTATTGTTTGGGGTGGGGGTAAATAATATATTTAAGTGGGGGTGTGTGCTGTGTCATTTTTTTTCCTTTTCCTCCACTGAAATAATCTTATTTATTTGAACCTTCCAAAGGTGGATATGGTTATAGAAGAAGTGGCCGAGATAAATATGGCCCTCCTACTCGCACAGAGTACAGACTTATTGTGGAGAATTTGTCAAGTCGGTGCAGCTGGCAAGACCTAAAGGTTTGGGCCCCATTAACCTTTTGGGGTAAGGTTGGGCAGGAGTTAAAGTTGGGAAACAGGTAAATTTGTGCAGGCCTAGGCATACCCAAAATATAATGTTACATGTGTGAAAGCCTGCACAGAGCTGGAAGTAATTAAAGATTCCATATGAGTACAAAATATATCAGAATTATACTTCTATTGAACATTGTGGGACCATCATTCTAAGGAGACATCTGTGAGTTTGTTTGGTTTTGTTTTGTTTTTTGTTTGTTTTGTTCGAGACGGAGCCTCACTGTGTTGCCCAGGCTAGAGTGCAGTGGCGCCTTCTCGGCTCACTGCAACCTCCGTCTCCCGGGTTCAAGCAGTTCTCCATCTCAGCTTCCTGAGTAGCTGGGATTACTGGCACCCGCCACCACGTCCGGCTGATTTTTTTGTATTTTTAGTAGAGACGAGGTTTCACCATCTTGGCCAGGCTGGTCTTGAACTCCTGACCTTGTGATCCACCCGCCTCAGGCCGCCAAAGTGCTGGGATTACAGATGTGAGCCACCGCGCCCGGCCTGATTTTGTTGTGAGACAGAGTCTCACTCTATTGCCCAGGCTGGAGTGCAGAGGCACGATCATGGCTCAGAGATTGGTTGTCACTGTGTTACCTAGACTGGTCTCCAACTCCTGACCTCAAGTAATCCTCCAGCCTTAGCCTCTGCAACTGTTGACATGACAGAAACTTGGCCCAAATGTGTTATATGAAATTTCCCTCTGTAAAGAATGTTTGAAACCCCGTCTCTACTTAAAAAGATAGAAAAATTAGCCAGGCGTGGTGGTGGGCTGGGCACCTGTAGTCCCAGCTACATGGGAGGCTGAGGCAGGAGAATTGCTTGAACCTGGGAGGTAGAGGTTGTAGTGAGCCAAGATCGTGCCACTGCACTGCAGCCTGGGCAATAGAGCAGGACTCTGTCTCAAAAAAAAAAAAAAAAAAAAGTTACAGGAAGATGCCAGTATAGCTACTCACCAGTCAGTAAAATGGTTGAAACCACCAGTGTTTCCTGCAGCATTTGCTGTAACACGCAAATTCACATCAGCTTCAATGTGTATCCTTACTGGTGAAATTGACAGTCTGACCCATGTTCTTTCATAAGGTTTTTTTTTTTGTTTTTTTTGTTTTTTTTTTTTTGTTTTTGAGACGGAGTCTCGCTCTGTCGCCCAGGCTGGAGTGCAGTGGCGCGATCTCGGCTCACTGCAAGCTTCGCCTCCCGGGTTCACGCCATTCTCCTGCCTCAGCCTCCTGAGTAGCTGGGACTACAGGCGCCCGCCACCGCGCCCGGCTAATTTTTTGTATTTTTTTTTTTTTTTAGTAGAGACGGGGTTTCACCGTGGTCTCGATCTCCTGACCTTGTGATCCGCCCGCCTCGGCCTCCCAAAGTGCTGGGATTACAGGCGTGAGCCACCGCACCCAGCCCTTTCATAAGATTTTTGATGGAATATTTGTCCTGAAAGAGTTTTGGTGTCAAAAATTAAGATTCATTGCTAATGTTGGCCATCCAGTGTAGTCATTCCAGCTTTTTATTATTTTTTAGACAGAGTCTCACCCTTTCACCTAGGCTGAAGTGCAGTGGCGCCATCTCAGCTCACTGCAACCTCCTCCTGGGGTTCAGGTAGTTCTCCTACCTCAGCCTCCAGAGTAACTGGGATTACAGGCACATGCCACCATGCCCAGCTAATTTTTGTATTTTAGTAGAGACCAGGTTTCGCCCTGTTGGCCAGGCTGGTCTTGAGCTCCTGACCACAAGTGATCCACCTGCCTTGGCCTCCCAAAGTACTGGGATTACAGGCGTGAGCTACCACACCCAGTCCCATTTATTGACAACAGTGTTTTTAATCTCAATAGGGAAGAAAAACTTACTGAGCAGTATCATAATCTGAATGGTCTTAGGAGGATGCATGAAACGGGTGTTGTTTTGTCTCCCTTCTTCCTTTTTTTGGCCATATTTAAACATGTCATCTCTAGCAAAATGAGTGAGTGTATTTAGGTTCAGGAAAGAATAGTTAGGAATCCTTTACATTTGTACAGTTTTAATTTAAAGCACTTCTATTTTTCCCCCCCTTTTTAAAATTTAATCCCAGCAACCTTCAAGTAACAGATGCAGAAGAGCTGGGACCAGGACTCTTAACTCCCAGTTTTTTCAGGTGCATCGTGCTTATTGTCAGCACCGTAGTAGACCTTTACTGAATGTCTGCCAGCACGATTCTGCTTGCTGAAGGAATGACTCCAGTATTCTGAGAGTTAGGGATTGAACATCATGGATAGAAACTGGAAAGCTACTGTCTTCATCAGTAGAATGCTAACTCGTCATGTGGTGTCACTAAATGTAATATTAAATTAAGTTTGTAGAAAACCTCTTAATTTTTTTGTTAAAACAGAGCCTAGTTACTGTTGGGGGAAAGGCTTATGGGGTGCCTGTATAAACTGGCCATAAAAATATGGGACAATAAGTTGTGCACAGCCACAAGAGGCCTCTTGTGGGAGGAGGAAAGCCTTATCGCCATTATGTTCACGTGCTCTGAGCAAGACTTGCTCTCTTATCCATAAACACTGTGTTCAAGGAGAAAGACACTCCTTCGAAGCATTGGAATGTGGCCAAACATGCAGCCTCCTAGTTAAGCCCGCTCCCACCAGCTACTCTGATAAGTTAAAGATATGCTGTTTCAGCACAAAGGAGATTCATTTAAACCACCACTGCTATAGATTACGCATATGACACACTGCCTGCCTTTTCACCATTTTGCCCTAAACATCGGCTTCTTAGATCTAAATGATTGTACTCAATAGTGTGGAGACCAGAACTCTGAGCCTTTTGCAGCCTTCATTTTGCAGTTAACCACCTGGCCCCCACTCTTTATGCAGTCTTAACCTCTCTCTTCTCATTCCTTCATCACCACCAGACTTTGGATGTCCTATGAGTGGTATTGAGGCTGGTCCCCCACAGTTACCACCCTTGGTTGGCTCTACACGTCTGTACCTTCAGGGAGTTCCATTCTCAGGAAACGAGAGTAACAGATAATTGAGCAGATTTCCTAGCTCTCAAGCTGGCCAGCCTAGATAGAATCCTGGCTCTGCCACTTGACCCTTAGCAAGTTACTTACGTCTTATGCCTCATATTCCTCAACTATAAAATGGAGTTAATATTAATTTCTACTCAAGGTTATTGAGATAATTTAGTGAATTGTATATATAAAAAGCCTAGAATAGTTTCTGGCACAATGTATGTTAGCTATTTATCAAGGAAATACAAAAAGAAAACAAATTAGGGGATATTAGTAGTTTAAAAAATAAATTTTATTTTTTATTTATTTATTTTTTGAGATGAAGTCTTGCTCTGTCACCTGGGCTAGAGTGCAGTGGCATGATCTCGCTCACTGCAACTTTCACCTCCTGGGTTCAAGCGATTCTCCTGCCTCAGCCTCCCAAGTAGCTGGGATTACAAGCGCCTGCCACCACGCCTGGTTCATTTTTGTATTTTTAGTAGAGACAGGGTTTCACCAAGTTGTCAGGCTGGTCTTGAACTCCTGACCTCAGGGATCTGCCCACCTTGGCCTCCCAAAGTGCTGGGATTACAGGTGTGAGCCACTGCGCCTGTCCTTATTTTTTTGTTTTGAGGCAGTGTCTTGCTCTTTACCCCAGGCTGTAGTGCAGTGTCACGATCACAGCTCACTGCAGCCTCAACCTGCCTGGGTTCAGATGATCCTTCCACCTCAGCCTACTGGGTAGCTGGGACTACAGGCGTGTGCCACCCCACCTGACTAATTTTTTAAATTTTTATAGAGATAGGGTCTTCCGTGTTGCCAAGGCTGGTCTCAAATTCCTGGAATCAAGCAATCCTCCTGCCTCAGCCTGGCAAAGTGCTGGGATTACAGGCATGAGCCACGACACTTCGCCCCAAAACTTTATTTAAAGGAACAATTTAATGTGTATTTATTGTCTCTCCCACCTACCTAATATGGCTGGTGCTTTAAAGAACCTCAGTACATGATTGGTGGGTAGATGAATATATTTAAGAATAAACTTTATTCTGCGGAACACTGGCATTTCTTAAGAAAAGTTCATTCAGATCATTGCATTCGATATTTTAGCAAAACATAATATAGTCACGCTTTTTTTTCTTCAGGATTATATGCGTCAGGCAGGAGAAGTGACTTATGCAGATGCTCACAAGGGACGCAAAAATGAAGGGGTGATTGAATTTGTATCTTATTCTGATATGAAAAGAGCTTTGGAGAAGTTGGATGGAACTGAAGTCAATGGCAGAAAAATCAGATTAGTTGAAGACAAGCCAGGTTCCAGACGACGCCGGTCCTACTCCAGAAGCCGGAGTCATTCAAGGTACTGTTGATGTCTTTTGTGTATTGGAGCTCACCATAAATTCATTACTGAGCACATAGATAATTTATTTACATTTTCCTGTTGAGTTCTTAATAACATGATTCCATTTGGTTCAATAACTTAGAATTTTGAACTGAACATTTATTTGTAAAACTCTTGAACTCTTAGGTCATGAGTACAAATAGAAGTAAAGTCCCTTCTCTCAGAATCAGAGGGCTTGCTGGGTGTGGTGGCTCATGCCTGTAATCCCAGCACTTTGGGAGGCCAAGGTGGGTGGATCACCTGATGTCAGGAGTTTGAGACCAGCCTCAACATGGAGAAACCCCGTCTCTACTAAAAAATACAAAAAAATTAGCCAGGCGTGGTGGTGCATGCCTGTATTCCCAGCTACTTGGGAGGCTGAGGCAGAATTGCTTGAACCTGGGAGGCAGAGGTTGCGGTGAGCCGAGATCGTGCCATTGCACTCCAGCCTGGGCAACAAGAGTGAAACTCCATCTCAAAAAAAAAAAACAAAAAGGGAAATCAGAGGTCTCCTTTCACATTTCTTCTTGGGATCCCTAGATCCTACTACCTTGGTTGAGGGCACACATGGAAACTGTCTTATTTAGCACCTGAACAGGCCAGGCACTGGGCTAAGCATTGGAAAGGCATTATAAAGAAGACAAATGGCCAGACGCAGTGGCTCACGCCTGTAATCCCAGCACTTTGGGAGGCCGAGGCAAGTGGATCACCTGAGGTCAGGAGTTCAAGACCAGTCTGGCCAACGTGGTGAAACCCCATCTCTACTAAAAATACAAAAGTAAAAAAATAATTAGGCAGGGTGGTGGCACACACCTGTGGTCCCAGCTACTAGGGAGGCTGAGGCAGGAGAATCGCTCAAACCCGAATCCGGGAGGCAAGGGTTGCAGTGAACAGAGATCATGCCACTGCACTCCAGCCTGGGCGACAGAGAGAGACTCCGTCTCAAAAAAAAAAAAAAAAAAGACAAATATGGTCCTTGCTCCCCTGAAACTCAGTCTAGTGTAGAAGATGAGTATTGAATAAACCATGCCATTGTGACAAGGAAATGCACACAGCACAACTAGTCTGAAGAGCTGGCAACAGCTTCCCTAAGGACATGGAGCCCTGATGGATAAGACAGAGATGGTGAGCAGAAGAAAATGCCTTTTTTTTTTTTTTTTTTTTTTTTTGGGAGACAGAGTTTCTTTTACTCTGTCTCCCAGGCTGGAGTACAGTGGTACAATCTTGGCTCACTGCAACTTCCACCTCCCAGATTCAAGCGATTCTCCTGCGTCAGCCTCCTGAGTAGCTGGGATCACAGGTGCACGCCACCAGGCCTGGCTAATTTTTGTAATTTTAGTAGAGACAGGGTTTCACCATGTTGGGCAGGCTGGTCTCGAACTCCTGACCTCAGGTGATCCACCCACCTCGGCCTCCCAAAGTGTTGGAATTACAGGCTTGAGGCACTGCGCCCGGCGAGAAAATGCCTTTCTATCTAGCAGAGAAAAGGGTGTTTCTGAAAGCCTGGGGGCAGGAGAAAGTTTTCCAGAGTAGAGAAGCTAATATAGAGAGGTAATGGGAAGAGTGGCTTGAGATAAGGCAGAGAAGGACCAAATATACTGACCATTAGGCCAGAGCAAGAATGGAAGAGTAGTGGGAAGTCATTGGAGACTTTTCAGGTTTTGTTGTTTAGTTCTTTTGACTTTTTATTATGGAAAATTTGAAATTTATATATGAAGCATTGGAGAACTCTGTGTTTTTTTGTTTTTTTGTTTTTTTTGAGACGGAGTCTCGCTCTATCACCCAGTCTGGAGTGCAGTGGCGCGATCTCGGCTCACGGCAAACTCCGCCTCCTGGATTCACGCCATTCTCCTGTCTCAGCCTCCTGAGGAGCTGGGACTACAGGCGCCCGCCACTATGCCCAGCTAATTTTTGGTGTTTTTAGTAGAGACGGGGTTTCATCGTGTTAGCCAGGATGGTCTTGATCTCCTGACCTCGTGATCCGCCCACCTTGGCCTCCCAAAGTGCTGGGATTACAGGCGTGAGCCACCGTGCCCGGCCACATTGGAGAACTCTGAATGGCATCTCCCACTCCTCCAGCTTCAGTAGTTTTTATTTTGCCAGTCTTGTTTCACATCACCCCCTCCTGCTGCATTATTTTAAGGCCTATCATTCTACCTACAACTGCAGTAAGTTGTAGAAATTATGATACTTTGCCCCTAAATCCTTCAGCGTGTGTCTCCAAAAATGAGGAAAACCACAATTCTGTTTTTTTACCTAAGAACATTAATAGTAATTCCATCAAATTACTAAATTTCCAGGCCATATTCATGTTTCCTCAGTTATTCCATGGATCTCTTTATAGTTGGGTTTTTTCTTAACCAGAATCTAATCCAGTCATGTAGTACAAGGGGTTTTTAGTAGTAAAACCTCATGTAGTCACGCTTTTAGTCTGGAGCAATTCCTTTCATTACATTTATTTTGCTTAGGTTTGGGTTTGTTTGTTTGGTTGAGACGAGGACTCTTGCTCTGTCGCCCAGGCTGGAGTGCAATGGCGCCATCTCAGCTCATTGCAACCTCTGCGTCCCAGGTTTAAGCTATCCTCCTGCCTCAGCCTCCCAAGTAGCTAGGATTACAGGCGTGAGCCACCACTCCTGGCTTATTTTTCTTAGTTTTTTAATAGTATCTCACATTCTGTATTTATCTGTTTCTTCTTGGTATTATTGAACGTGTATCTTATCCCCTGAACTTCCTGTATACTGGAAGTTAGGTCTGGAGAGGTGTGATTGAGATGCAGGTTAAACATTTTTAGCAAGAATACTTCATAGGTGATGGTGCCTGGGCAACTTTGAAAGCTTCCCTCTTGCTGTCATAATGAGATGGTCTAGGCCTATCTTCCTGCTTTTATGCCAGGAATCAGTCATTTTCCCAAGGAGTCCTGGTTATTAGAAAATAAGAACCTACAGTCTGGATGCATTTAAAAAATGTTGTAAAGCTTGGATTGTCGGTCTCTTTAAAACAGCTCTCGTCACAGTGAGATGAATAGATCCTGAAGGGGAAAAGTACATGCAGAAAGGCTGGTTGTTGAACAAGGGGAGACATGATGGTGGCTTGCCCAGGGAGGCAGCAGCAGAGGTGGAAAGACTGAAGATCAGGAGGCATGATCATGGGTGTGTAAAGGGGATAGGGGAAAGACGGGGGAGCCGAGGATTGCTGTGATTTCTGTTATGAGGAACCGTATGAATAACAGTGGCATCAGTGCACATAAGGAGCTCAGCAAAAGGAGCAGGTATCAGGGGCAGTTAGAATTTTAGGAGCTGATAAGAGGTTCAGGTGAACCATCCAGATGGAAGGTTTGCAGGTGACTTCATCTGTGAACCTAGAACCCAGGAGAGAGTTTGTGCCTGGACACAGCCAGTGCTGTACATATTGAAAAAATATCAGGCTGGGCGTGGTGGCTCATGCCTGTAATCCCAGCACTTTGGGAGGCCGAGACGGGCGGATCACGAGGTCAGGAGATCGAGACCGTCCTGGCTAACACAGTGAAACCCCGTCTCTACTAAAAAATGCAAAAAACTAGCTGGGCGAGGTGGCGGGCGCCTGTAGTCCCAGCTACTCAGGAGGCTGAGGCAGGAGAATGGCGTAAACCCGGGATGCGGAGCTTGCAGTGAGCTGAGATCCAGCCACTGCGCTCCAGCCTGGGCGACAGAGTGAGACTCCGTCTCAAAAAAAAAAAAAAATACCTTGGCCGGGCGCAGTGGCTCATGCCTGTAATCCCAGCACTTTGGGAAGCCGAGGCGGGTGGATCACCTGAGGTTGGGAGTTTGAGACCAGCGTGACCAACATAGAGAAACCCCGTCTCTACTAAATACAAAATTAGCCGGGCATGGTGGCAGATGCATGTAATCCCAGCTACTCGGGTTTCTGAGGCAGGAGAATCACTTAAACTCGGGAGATGGAGGTTGTGGTGAGATGAGATCACGCCGTTGCACTCCAGCCTGGGCAACAGGAATGAAACTCCATCAAAAATATATATATATATGTATATATACGTCTTGATTGATGCTTATCAGCTAGACTTTTGTCAGCAAGTATTAAAAAATATTTTCTCCCCCTAGGTCTCGCTCTCGAAGCAGACATTCCCGTAAGAGCAGAAGCCGAAGTGGCAGCAGCAAAAGCAGTCATTCTAAGAGTAGATCCCGGTCCAGGTATGTCTTCCATGGTATAAGTGGAGGTGGTCAGCAGGTAATGCCTGTACCCTGTCTCACTTTTTTCCTTTTTTTTTTTTTCAAAGAGACAGGGTCTCACTGTCACTCAAGCTGGAGTCCAGTGGTACAATCATGGCTCACTGCAACCTCACCCCACTGGGCTCAAGCACGCTTCCACCTCAGCCTCCCAAGTAGTTGGGACTACAGGCACATACCACCACACTCAGCTAATTTTTTAATTTTTTGTAGAGACAGGGTCTCACTGTGTTGCCCAGGCTGATCTTAAACTCATGATCTCAAATAGTCCTCCCAGACTACTGCGATTACAGACATGAGCACAGCCTCACTTAGATTTCAGTCATGTGACCAGTCTTCCTTCACCTCTGCTTTTCCAACTCCCCCCACCCCCCAAGACAGAGTCTCGCTTTGTCACCCAGGCTGGAGTGCAGTGGCGCGATCTCTGCTCACTGCAACCTCTGCCTCCCGGGTTCAAGCGATTCTCCTGCCTCAGCCTCCTGAGTAGCTCGGATTACAGGCGTGCGCCACCACGGCCCGCTAATTTTTGGTATTTTTAGTAGAGACAGAGTTTCACCAGGTTGGCCAGGCTGGTCTTGAACTTCTGACCTTGCGATCTGCCTGCCTTGGCCTCCCAAAATGCTGGGATTACAGGTGCAAGCCACCGCACCTGGCCAGTTTTTCCAGCTTCTGATTGGCATTGTGGGGGTTCAGAAAGCAATCCTCAGCCAGTGCCAGCCATGCCTTATATTCGGGGGTGTAACTCCACATGCATGCCCTTTGATCTTTTTATCTCCTGGTTAGCATAAAGTCACATGTGACAAACAATATCCCATGTCTCCTCAGGTCGGGCTCCCGCTCCCGGAGCAAGAGCCGGAGCCGGAGCCAGAGTCGGAGCCGGAGCAAGAAGGAGAAAAGCAGGAGCCCCAGCAAGGACAAGAGCCGCAGCCGCAGCCGTAGCGCTGGCAAGAGCCGCAGCAAGAGCAAAGACCAAGCTGAAGAGAAGATCCAAAACAATGACAATGCCGGGAAACCCAAGAGCCGGAGTCCTAGCCGGCATAAAAGTAAGAGCAAAAGTCGGAGCAGGAGTCAGGAGAGGAGAGTGGAGGAGGAGAAGCGAGGGAGTGTGAGCAGGGGCAGGAGCCAGGAGAAGAGCCTCCGCCAGAGTCGGAGCCGGAGCCGGAGCAAAGGGGGCAGCAGGAGCCGGAGCAGGAGCCGCAGCAAGAGCAAGGACAAGAGGAAGGGCAGGAAGAGAAGCAGGGAGGAAAGCCGTAGTCGCAGCCGCAGCCGCAGCAAAAGTGAGAGGAGCAGAAAGCGAGGCAGCAAGCGAGACAGCAAGGCCGGCAGCAGCAAGAAGAAGAAGAAGGAAGACACTGACCGCTCCCAGTCCAGATCTCCATCCCGCTCCATGTCAAAGGAGCGGGAACATGCCAAGTCTGAATCCAGCCAGAGGGAAGGTCGAGGGGAGAGTGAGAATGCTGGCACCAATCAGGAGACCCGGTCCAGGTCGAGATCCAATTCCAAATCGAAACCAAACCTTCCATCAGAATCACGCTCCAGATCAAAGTCAGCTTCAAAAACCCGATCTCGGTCCAAGTCTAGATCCAGGTCTGCTTCCAGATCACCCTCCCGATCTAGATCTAGGTCCCACTCAAGGTCCTAACTGGCTACGGCCACAGCTGGAACTACCCGAGAAGTCTTTTGTACATGTTTGGTAGCCGTAGCACAAGTGATTGGAGTAGAACATGTCACTGCTGTACATTTTTAACTCCCCTAATGGTGTGTCTATAATTGTTAAATCTAAGTGCTTCCTCTCAGTAAAGCCTCCTGGCGCCAGGCCTTCCTGCTCGACTGAAAAAAATTTTCTCTTTGAAAATCCCCTTTTACTCATGGCCCACAGTAGAATATCCAAAACGCCTTGGCTTTCAGGCCTGGCCTTTCCTACAGGGAGCTCAGTAACCTGGACGGCTCTAAGGCTGGAATGACCACGTAGGTAGGTATGGTGAGTTCAACCATTTTTGCTCTTGAATTGATGCCCTTCGATGTATGCCATTTAGTGAAAGTGCTAAGTCTTAAGTTTCCTACCACTTTGGTTTCATATTTTTGGACTTAACAAAGTTGTGAATAGCACAGTCGAGGAAAATTGATACCTGCAGTAACCCATAGGAAATAAACTGTAGAGTTCCATATTCTGGTATTGTGATTATATTGTTTTATATTAAAAAAGAAAAGAAAAGAATTTTTTTTAATTTTATTTTTCCCCGTCTTGCAAAGTATAGTGACCCCTGTTTCCATTAAATTTGAATAAAGACTATTTTTGCTTGACAAAATTTCATGGTGCTTGAATTGAAGTTGTACTTTCTGATATATCTTGGTATGTCTTTTCTTAGCATAAAAAGTTCATGTGTAGGCCAGGGGCAGTGGCTCACGCCTGTAATCCCAACACTTTAGGGGGCCGAGGCAGATGGATCACAGGGTCGTCAGGAGTTCAAGACCAGCCTGACCAACATGGTGAAACCCCATCTCTACTAAAAATACAAAAATTAGCTGGGCGTGGTGGCACACGCCGGTAATCCCAGCTACTCGGGAGGCTGAGGCAGGAGGGTCACTTGAACCCGGGAGGTGGAGGTTGCAGTGAGCTGACATCATGCCACTGTACTCCAGCCTGGGCTACAGAACGAGACTTCATCTCAAAAAAAAAAGTTCATGTGTAATGACTGTTCTCTTCCTTGGGATCACCCATCTTAGGGAACCAACACGTTCCTAAAGGATTTTTCTCACCCAACAGAATAAAGGCAGGTTTCTGAGGAATTTATCATCCTTTCTCTTAAGAAACTTATGGCCAGGCTGATGAGGAATGAATCAGTTTGGAAACTTGGAGTATTACCAGATGAGTTGTTCATGAATATAGAGTTCTGTGCTGTTTGTCGAAATTGCCATGAATCTGCAGTGTCTCATGATCTCATCACCTTAAGATCTGAACTAATAAAAACCAGGGGAAAAAACTAGACTGGCCTTTTTTTTTTTTTTTTTTTTTTTTTTTTTTTTTTTTTTTTTGAGATGGAGTTCCGCTCTTGTTGCCCAGGCTGGAGTGCAATGGCATGGTCTCAGCTCACTACAACAACCTCCGCCTCCCAGGTTCAAGTAATTCTCCTGTCTCAGCCTCCCAAGTAGCTGGGATTACAGGTACACGCCACCACGCCTGGCTAATTTTTGTATTTTTAGTAGAGACGGAGTTTCATCATATTGGTCAGGCCGGTCTCGAACTCCTGACCTCAGGTCATCTGCCCGCTTCAGCCTCCCAAAGTGTTGGGATTACAGGCATGAGCCACTGCACCTGGCCTACTGGATTACTTTTGTCCTAATTCTACTGCTTGTTTGGCCTAGCTCTCTAGGAGGCACCAGAAGTACAGTGGTGCCAATCTGGTCTCAGGCCTTGAGGGACTGTTGAGGGACATCAAAGCAGGGAGGAAGCTTGAGGGCTTTCATTACATGCTGCAGCAAAATATTGGGAAGGAGATTCACTTGACTGCTGCCTGTGAATTTGTTGGGGGCTGTCCCTAGGCTTAAAACAACTGTCCCGTTGCTTCCGATAGACCAAAATCTTAGAATTCACTGGAAATACAAAAGCAGAGTGTCTCTTGCCCTCCTGGAGTTTGTGATCTGGTTGCTAATGATGAAGGCAAAGTGGATGTTCAGAGAACAGAGTCAGAACTTCATCTGGGATCAGAGATAGCACTTAAGCTGAACTTTTTGGGGATGTAAGGTGGGATGCATTCCTATTGAAAGCCTGTGAGCAAAGCCATGGAGTTGGGAAAGCACAGGGCACTGTGCCCAGGGAACAAGGAGTTTGATACTGGAGATTTAGAGTTTAACAAAATGGATTGTGTCATAGAGGGCCATAGATAACCAGGAAGAGGAATTTGACCTTTATCCTGTAAGCACTGGGTTACATTGAAAGTATTTGAATAGAAGAGTGCAGGGAGTAGAGTTATGCCTCTAGACCTGACAGCAGTGTGAAGAATTGGATGCAGGGAACCCCAGATGATACCCGGCCTGCTTGATCAAAGCCGTGATAGGAGGGAGCAGAGGAGGCAAGATCAGCAAGATGTGTCAGATGTCCTACCAAGGAGCTACCGGAAGCAGTCACAAGATGATGAGGCATCATCTGAGGAATGGGGAAGATGACGGGGGAAATTCAGTTTTGAAAACATGTAGTTTCAGAAGCAGACTAGGCAGCCAAACCAAGGAATCTCACTCAGTTTCTGGAGAGTTTCCCACATCATTTTCTGGACCCATTCTTGTGTCATGACAAGGTGATGAACCCAACCACTAAAATTCCCACTGCCTCAGAGGATCTCATGCTGGTCTCCAGTGATGACAGTAATTTATTCCGATTTTATCTCTATAAGGATAGGGATGTTCGTTGGGGCATTTTGTTTCTTTCACTTTTTTTTTTTTTTGAGATGGAGTCTTGCACTGTCACCTAGGCTGGAGTGCAATGGCACAATCTCGGCTCACTGCAACCTCTACCTCCCAGGTTCAAGCGATTCTCTTGCCTCAGCCTCCCGAGTAAGCTGGGATTACAGGCGCCCGCTACCACGCCTGGTATTTTTTGTATTTTTAGTAGAGATGGGGTTTCACTATGTTGGCCAGGCTGGTCTCAAACTCTTGACCTCGTGATCCGCACGCCTCAGCCTCCCAAAGTGCTGGGATTACAGGCATGAGCCACCGCGCCTGGCCGCCTTTCACTGTTTTTTGAGGCCAGGTCTCAATCTGCTGGGCAGGTTGGGGTGCAGATCATAACTGCAGCCTTGACCTGGGCTCAAGCGATCCTCCCCCTCAGCCTCCCAAGTAACCAGGACTACAGGTGTGTGCCACCACGCCTGGCTGATTTTTGTATTTTTTGTAGAGACAGGGTTTCACTATGTTCTCCAGGCTCGTCTTGAACTCCTGGGCTCAAGTAAGTGATCCCACCTCGGCATCCAAGAGTGTTGGTGTTGTCGGTGGGAGCTACCACATCCGAACTCCTTTATTCTAACACAACTCTATCTTTCCAAATTCCATTCCAAACTTTGTTCCTATTGATTCATATTGTAAAGAGTTATGTAATTTTTTTTGTTTTTTGTTTTTTTTTTTAAATGAGTCTCTGTCACCCAGGCTGGAGTGCAGTGGTACGATCTCGGCTCACTCAGCTCACTGCAACCTCTGCCTCCCAGGTTCAAGCGATTCTCTTGCCTCAGGCTCCTGAGTAGCTGGGATTACAGGTGTGCGCCACCACACCCGGCTAATTTTTGTACTAAGTAGAGATAGGGTTTGACCATGTTCGTCAGGCTGGTTGCGAACTCCTGACCTCGTGATCTGCCCTCCTCGACATCCCAGAGTGCTGGGATTACAGGCATGAGCAGCCATGATCCGGCATGTTTATGTAATTTAATAAACTCGCCAGGTGTGGTGACTCAACACCTGTAATCCCAGCACTTTGGGAGGCCGAGGCAGGCAGATCACAAGGTCAGGAGATCAAGACCATCCTGGCTAACACGGTGAAATCCCCTCTCTACTAAAATACAAAAAATTAGCCGGGTGTGGTGGCGGGCGCCTGTAGTCCCAGCTACTTGGGAGGCTGCGGCAGGAGAATGACGTGAACCCGGGAGGCGGAGCTTGCAGTGAACCCAGATCGAGCCACTGCACTCCGGCCTGGGTGACGGCGACACTCCGTCTCAAATATATATATATAATAAATGAAAATTGAATAAACTCAATATCATGAGCATTAAATGTTTAAGGCACATGGATTCTAACCAAATGAGTTTCGCACTGTGTTAATAGTGGCAAGGAAATTCCATGTGTACATAGATAGGACCCTTGGCCATGTTTTTCCCAGCAATTTTTGAATCCTTTTGTGTTAGATTCTGAATGAAAAGAGGATAAATCAACAAGAAAGATGGAAACTCTCATCTGTTGAATTCTGAATGTGCACTGGAGAGAGAACACTGGGTATTTTCATGTTCATTTTTCATTTTGTTTTCACAGCTCCCTGTGTTCAGTATTGCTGGGCCCAATTGCAAATGAGACTAGAACAATGTCCCGCCACCCCCCAACGTTATATTTACATTTGGAGTGCCTTCTGTGTAGGCCAAGCACTGTTCTAGCCTCTGGGTTAAAGTATGAACAGCAAGGTTCCCTTCCCATGGAATATATGTGTTACTTGTAGGACTGGTGTCACAGGGATTAGTCCATGATAATCTCAGTACTGAACACCTGTGAACCAGACAGTGCTTGGAGAGCATCAGTCAGTGTAGCAAATCATTGCGAGGGACTCTCCTGCCACCTCCCTCTTAGCCATTCACAGTCCAATGAAAGACCTTGGGAAAACAAAAGGAAGACCCTAAATTTGATTGATTTGCCTACCAGCACCTACTATGAGCAGGTTGCTTTTATGTACATTATCCCATTTTAAAAGATGAAGACCAAAGCTCAGAAGTGGAGTGATTTGGGACCGGGCACAGTGGCTCAATGCCTGTAATCCCAGCGCTTTGGGAGGCCAAGGCAGGAGGATCACGAGGTCAGGACATTGAGACCAACCTGGCTAACACAGTGAAACCCCATCCCCATTAAAAATACAGAAAATTAGCCGGGCATGGTGGCAGGCGCCTGTAGCCCCAGCTACTTGGGAGGAAGAAGTGTGATTTGGTCGGGCGTGGTGGCTCACGCCTGTAATCCCAACACTTTGGGAGGCCAAGGCAGGTGGATCACCTGAGGTCAGGAGTTCAAGACCAGCCTGGCCAACATGGTGAAACCCTGTCTCTACTAAAAATACAAAAATTAGCTGGGCATGGTGGTGGGTGCCTGTAGTCTCAGCTACTTGGGAAGCTGAGGCAGGAGAATCATTTGAACCCGGGAAGTGGAGGTTGCAGTAAGCTGAGATTGCGCCATTGCATGCCAGCTTGGGCAACAAGAGTGAAACTCCCTCTCAAAAAAAAAAAGTGGCCAAATGCAGTGGCTCATACCTGTAATCCCAACACTTTGGGAAGCTGAGGCAGGCAGATCACCTGAGGTCGGGAGTTCGAGACCAGCCTGACCAACATGGAGAAACCCCATCTCTACTAAAAATACAAAATTAGCCAGGTGTTGTGGCACATGCCTGTAATCCCAGCTATTGGTGAGGCTGAGACAGGAGAATTGCTTGAACCCGGGAGGTGGAGGTTGCGGTGAGACAGGGTCACACCATTACACTCCAACCTGGGCAACAAGCAAAACTCCATCTCAAAAAAAAAAAAAAGTGTGATTGAATCAATGTCGCACCGCTAGTGACAATGTGGTATACATCTCTGG